CCGCCCCCTCTCTGCCTCGTCTCTGCTCTGAAGGGGGGCTGATCTCCTACCATCCGCACTAACCGGATGGGGGATGGCCCGTCAGCCCACCTGCCAGACCCTCCAGCAGTCATCTGACTGCTGAATGGTTCCCTGGAACAACTGAGTGTCTTCCCGGGGCTCTCTCAGCCTTCCCTCCAGGAATCCTGTCCAGGTGATTGATAATCCAGCATAGCCCCAACTCTTTCTGAGCTGCTCCTTTAGAACAAGACCCCTGGGAAGAATCTTTTAGAGTCACTAGGAGGTTTCGTAGTTGTTTTTGTGCTCCTTTTTGCCCCAATTTCGAAAAAAGGTCATGCCCCACTCCTATCCCCACTACCAATACCTCGTTGGCAGGAGCTGGGAGCATCACTGATGTGTCCCAGAAGGAAGAGGCTTCAGGCTCAGCTCCAAGAACCTGCGAGCCACACTCCACCCAGCCCTGGTCAGCAGCAAAGTTCCAAAGGCAAACGTGAGGACAGGGGAGCACTTCACTGCCCACGGAATACCCCCAAATGTTAACGCCAGAAGAACTGGACATTTCTTGTTTAGATACTAAACCTATTTAGAGAACATGAATTCCCAGAGCTCCAGGAGAACATTACCTTCGAGATGTAGGTCAGCTGCAAAGATCCAACAGCTCCTGCCCCAATTGCCAGGTTCTGAAAGACAGATGTTTTTCATTTTGAGAAGGATGATGCTACGTGAGGCAGTGGAAACAGCGCTAAGAGACAGAAGACCAAGACTCTAGTCCTGGCTTTGCAACCCTGAGCAAGCCACTTACCCTTGAGCTCACTTTCCTCTCTAAAACAGTGATAATTCTTGCCATGTATATGTATACACTAATCTTATCCTTGGCCTTACCACAGAGGGCTGTGTTCTAGGACAGTGGTGAAAAGTGTGAGCTCCACCATTTGACAGTGAATATGTTCCTGAACCACTAAGCCTCCACTTTCTTTTCTGTAAAAATAGAGATGATAATAGTACCTACCTCATAAGGCAGCCATGCGGATGACCTACTACATTTAAGGGCACTTGGAGTTGTCCCTGGTACATAAATGACTCTCAACAAGTGTTAGCCATTATATTTTTTCTTTCCTGACTGCTCTGATCTCCGTGGTGGCTTGGTCCTGTTACATGCCTAACTCTAAGTTCTTTTTGTAATAAACACGGTGCAGATTCACACAATACAGAAATTAGAAAATACAGCTGTTCGGTTTATTTTACAGGAGCATTACGAGTACCCACTGGAATGATGTCTGTAGACCATAAAACACTAAGTAAATGTTCTGTTAAAACAGCAAGAAACTCACAAGCACCTTGTTGGGCAATATTCTATCTTGGCACAATCTCTTTGGCTTTCTAATTTCTCCACTGTTAGAAATGAAATAATGATGACACAGGGATGGTAGCATATCAAAGAAATGACCGAGATTAGAAATCACAGCTATGGAGTTTCTAATTTATAACGTGGAAAATTCACTCCCCCATGGACCTGAGACCCTGTCCACAGCTCCTGGTGACCTCTTAAACTGTTGCATAAGCCTCAAAGAATAACCCTGAAGTCCCCATTACCTGGGGTTATCTCAAAGCAATAAACAGAGATGAATCTTGGATAATGAGAATTTAGTGAATTTCCTAAAGGGTTAGCAGTGAAATGACCGGTCATTCCAGAAGACTGCCCTTAAGAAGTATCTTACATGGCAGGGAAGAGTCCTTCTAGGCCCAATTAACTAAATTAACACACATCACTTGAAGCAAATGCAAGATATGAAATTTTCTATTCAGGAAAAAAGGGATGAGGATAATACCACAGTGAAAGGATTCTCAGAGCCCTTAAATTTTAGAGTAAGAAATTCAGAAAGGATATCCCCCCTCTCCCTTTTACAAATGAGGCTATAAATCTAAAATGCTGCCTTGTGAGTCTCCAGATTAGCATTTCAAATATGGATGATCTGATTTACACATTTTTTTCAAATACACAGTGACAGCATTTTGTTTACTTTTAAGGAAACCTCTATTGGATAAAGAGAGATAGGTCCTGTGCCCCTAAATCAGAGTCCAAAAAGGAGCCATAGGACTCCAAAAGGCCGGTGAGGGACTGACACTGCCCCAAGGAGACCGTGAGTCACTCTGGATGGACACATGGAGCCACGGGCCTCTGCTGGACACAGAGCACCTGGCCCACTCCCAGCCCCCATGTGGCATTGGAGGAAAGTGAGGGGATTTGTGAGTGAGGGGATTTGTTCCACTTCACATAAATGCTCAGATCTCCTGACTTCAACCCAATGCCCTAGAAGCAAGCAGCACGATAAAATTTTAAAAGCTTGAGTGGCTGGAATTCTGGCTGTGACATTATCGCCCTATGACTGCAGGCAAGTTTCTGTACCTATAAAATGGGGACGACAAACCCTGTTTCATAGGCTTATTGTGAGAACAGCATGAAAATGCAGAGGGAGAGCCCAGCACACGGCAGCTCCTCTCCCCGACCCACAAGGCTAATTACAAGATACACAAGCCAAGTCTCAGAGCTGTTCTTGCACAACTCCCTCTCCTCACCCCAAACCACAGCCCGAAGGCCTCCAGAGGTATCTGGAATTATGAGAGATGAAGTGAGATCTGGGGAACCATTCGGGCACTAACCCACACGTAATGACAGATATGAGCCGATCAGATTTCAACTACTTCATCCCCCCCCCCCCCCC